ACATGCGAGAGCTCCGCAAGCTACACCTGGGGCGGTGGCACGCCACTAAGCAGGATGCGGCACGAGCTCTACGAGCAGCCAACACGCCACAGGCAATACCAGCACGTCGACTTCTACATCCTCTACTATTAGGATCGCATGATATTGCGCCAGATCTGCTGCGCCTGGCGGTGGCACAACGGCCAGGAGATCACGAGCAAGCACGACTCGACGCTGCTGGCTGACGCCAGCCAGTCGCGGGTGCAGCTGTTCGGCACGATTGAGGCCTCCATCGTGGACGGCGAAGGCGGCGCGACGTCAGCGCACTTCGCGGAGAAGGTGAAGAGGCTAGGAGCACAGGTTGACATCCGAGCTCCGCGCCAGCACGCTCGTCTCATGGAGCGACGCGGCGCTATATTACGACAAATACTTCGCATCACAGAGGATCAGTCAGAGCGCAAAGGCATCAGAATCAATTTCGATTCGATGCTGGCCTAAGCGGTCTTCACAGGCAGCAGCCTCACCCACGTTAGCGGCGTCACACCATGCAACGTCGACGTCGGAAGGCAGCCCTCGATGCGGCCACCACTCGAAGCACATGAAGAGGGTGACGTATCCGCCGACTACGTCCCTGGCGCCTGCCATTCTGCTGGTGGCGAAGTGCAGCCCTGCCGACTACAGCAGCATATCCGAGAGATCGCACTGCAATGCATGATCGAGGCTATTTCGATATCCCGCGTCAGCCGCGCCCCCCGGACACGCACCGCCGAATCCGGAGAGGTTGGCGGCCAAGTGGGGGCCCATCGGCCTCCGAGCACGAAGGACTCGTCGGGCTGGACGGGATTCGGTGCGATCGTTTCTGCGGACACAGCTAGAGGCGAGGTTGCGGCCGAGTACCGCCAAGCCGAGATGGTCTGCAGATGACGGGACGCACGGGCCTTCACCGGCGCCGTTTTCGACGACATGGGCACCGGCATGGCGCGAGCAGGCCTGGCCTGGGACAGCGGGGAGGACTATGACTACGTGGAGCACATTACACCAGGCTCCGGGGCCAGGGCCATCGGCCAATGGGACGGCGCGAAGGGCGCACAGCTGACCGAGCAAGCCCGGAAACTCCATGACACCCCCGAGGCTCTGCGCCACTTGCCCCGCAGGTGCTTTCTGCCGCCAGATTTTCGTGCCGGGCGTGTCGCGCGCAGGAAGTCCGTGGGCGACTGGCTGGGCTGCACCGTCAGCTCGGTCATCAGGTGGCTCCCCCCGAACCCAGGCGACGTCCGACAGCTCCACTTCGACGGCGTCAAGTTCGACGCCCATCGACTCGTCGGCGAGGAGTGGAAGGACGCCCGCATCATCCATTTTATCTCGGGTGACGAACAGCTGCTGGCAGCAGACGCCGGGCAGGGCCAGGACGGGCATTCGATGACTATGTCACCGACTCCCCCGAGGACGCCGCCAGCGTCACCGAGGGAGGTTCACCATCCGCTCTGTCGGTCATACCAGGCAAGGCCGACAGCGGTTTCTCTGGCCACATCCAGCAGGCGACGTCGGGAGCCTGCCAGGACGCCGAAGGGGCAGAGGATCTGACTCAGGAGCTGCAGGAGTTGGAGAGCGTCGACAATCAGCAACAGGTCCCAGCTGCCATCGAGCACGCCGCGGCCGGCCTTGGCCGCGCGCCACACCAGCAGCCCCAGGACTCGGAGACGCAGCACCAGCGCCAGAGCATCAACGCGCGGCGAAACTATGACCAGCGCGGCACCTCCGCGGACGACTACGCCACGCCTGAGGGGAAGGGCGAGGGAGGAGAACATATGGAGCTGCAACTGAACCCAGGGGCGCGCGAAGCATTCCCGAGCTGCAACGAGGAACTGCCCGGCAACTATGCTGCCAGCGTTTCCACGAGAGCCGCGTTGAAGGTCAATACCGCCGCCAAGACCGCGGCAATCAAGCGCGACGCCGACCTCCTGACCAAAGAGGGGGCGTTGAGGCTGTCGAAGGAAGACTCCGCAGCCAACCTCGATGAGCTCACGATCTAGGTCAAGCATAAGCGTTTCGAAAGGCGCCCCCTCAGAGGCGCCCGAAGCGCAATGGACTTCAGACACGTCGTCAAATGACACCCGAAAGGATCGGACGGCAAGACCGCCAGGATCAACCGGCGCCGCACGGCACTGAGAGGCTTCCGCGGCGTGGACGCAGGAGCCCTCGAGACGTTCGCCAGGCCAGCGCAGCGAAGCGGGCGTCACGGCGCACGCTGTCCTGAGAGGCTCCGCGTAGCCCAGACCGGGCGCACATCGTTGTGGACGTCGAGAAGGCTTTCCTGCAAGGCATGACCGATACCGAGATGCAGGAGCATGGCGAAGTACCCCGCGAGGTAAACTTGACCCTGCCGCCCAGCAGCGCAGCTATCCTCCGGCAGGTGCCAGGCCACGAGTCACACGACGAGCGGACCGAGTACCTGCGCTGCACCATGCGGGCACGGGCTGCAAGAATGCGCCCAGGGCCTTCTCCCTGAAGCTCGCCAGGGCCACGCGCTCACCAGAGTGCAACACTAAGCCGGCGAGGTGGGACCCAGAGCTACAGGTCAAGCACGAGACGTCCAGCGCCGATGGCTTCAGCGGCTCAGAGTTGGTGCTCATGCTGTCCAAGCACGTCGACCATCTGAAGATCGGGGCGCAAGGGGCAGGTAGATTGGCTGATCGGCCACATCGAGAGCGCCCTCCTCAAGACGGGCGACGACTACGAGGATTTCACCACTTGCGGTGCACACCAACACCGCAGTGCCGATGGAACAGCGACGCTCGACCAGGATCAGTACATCGACACCCTGATCCCCATCGGGCACGTCGACTTGGTCTAGGCAATGGCCGACGGCCTGGTAGGGGGTCAGATTCCAGACCTCCTTGTGTCCCTCCTCGGAGCAGCAGCACACGCGCTGCTCACACAGCACCACGACGCAGCGTACATCGTCGCGCTGCAGAGGGCCAAGAACAAACTGCTCATCAGGCACGCGATGCAGCTGAACGCTGTGGTTTTTGCCATGCAGAAAATCAAGGTGCGCATGACCTTCCCGGCGATTGAGTGCGCCGGACGATTATGCGCACACAGCGACAGCTCGTTCAAACGCAAGGAGGAAAGGGGATGCGGCATGCGACGCGCCGTGTATATGCGTTTGGACAAGTGTCGCACAACCGGGAAGAAGGTCTGCCACTTGCTCGACGGTAGTGAACCAATCGCACCAACTTGCGCGTCGATCTTCATCTGGCCCGGAGCTGCTCGCCGCGCGCGGAGCAGCTGATCGACCTCAGGCGCCCCTCTTGACCCTCCACGAGATGGTACGTGGGCCTCTTTCAGCCGAGGAGATCAGAAGGCTGAGGGAGGAAGCTGGCTATGCCGTATCGGCCAAGCTAGTGGTCGACGGCAGGTCCGTGTTCGCCGCCCTGGCCATGGACCCTGTTCGACAACCATGGGAGAACATCATGGCCGGGCACCTGTAGTGGCTGTCAGATCAGTTACTCACCAAACAGGTCAATGACATCTTGTGTCGAGACACAGCAAACATGCGCGCCGACCCCATGACGAGGGGGAGCATGAACGCGATGGACGGCAAGCTCATTTACGACCACCAGATCGTCAAGTTGAGCGAGGAGAAGCTGAAGAAAGCCGTACCCAGATCACAACATAGCGACCTTGCCAACAAGGAATGGAGCGACGCGATTGGTTAAGTGGCGTCGCATCTCTCGGACTGCGTTTGCGAGTTCGACGTCCGATTGGCACCCGATGACAGACACGACGAAGGAAGTGGGGCATGCAAGTGAGAGACTTGCCGCTTCTCCTAACAATGTTGGTGGAGTGGCAGAGTGGCGACAGCTGACCATGCCAGTGAATGTTGCTTCCGCCAATTATGTTGTCGGAGTAGCAGCGTTCCATGAGCGTTGTGATATAATCAATATTCTGCCGCGCCGCCTCCTAGCCTCTGCCACTGCACAGCGCATCGAACATTTTAGTTTAGATCAGTCCGTTGTGCTTCGGGGCTGTCCTGGTGAAGCCGGGGCAGCCACCGAAGCACACCGGACCCGCTTGAGCACCTGATTCGAACGGTAGGTACTCAGGCAGGGACTGTAGCATAGCAGGGGGGCCTTCGGGGTCACCATTTCCATTTGGGATGAAAACCCGCTGCGCACCCGCTTTACATCTGAGGAAAGCACCCTTTGTTTTCATTGTTTTAGATGTCCCATTCAGGTTTGCTTAGATTCCCTTAGTTTGTCAAAGGTTGGCGCCTCGGATTCTGACGTTGCCCGTTGCTCGGAGGTTCCCCGGGTTCCTAGGGTTCCCAGGGTTCCTCGCCCTCGGTGTCTCCGAATTTTGCGTTGCTCGGAGGTTCTCTGGGTTCCTCGGGTTCCTTGGAATCCTCGGGTTCCTCGGGTTCCTCCGGTTCCCTGGGTTCCTCGGGTTCCCCGGGTTCCTCGGGTTCCTTCGGTTTTTCGGGTTCTTCTGGTTCCGCGGGTTCCCCCGGGTTTTTCGTGTTCTTCGGGTTTCCCGGGTTCCTCGGGTTATCCCGGGTTCTTCGGGTTCTCCAGGTTCTTCGGGCTCCTCGGGTTTTTGGAGTTCCCCGGATTCCCTGGGTTCCTCGGTTTTCCTGGGCTCTTCGTTTCTCCGAGGCACCAAGCAATGCCAAGCATTGCGCCCATGCAATACGAAGTTTCCCCCTAATTGGGGTCGCGCCGGGTTCATTCTTGTTCTCCTCCTCCTCCTCCTCCTCCTCCTCCTCCTCCTCCTCCTCTTCCTCCTCCTCCTCCTCCTTCTCCTCCTCCTCCCTCCTCCTCCTCTCTCCTCCTCCTCCTCCTCCTCCTCCTCCTCCTCCTCCTCCTCCTCCCCCTTTTCCTTCCCCCCCTCCTCCTCCTCCTCCTCCTCCTCCTCCTCCTCCTCCTCCTCTTCTTCCTCCTCCTCGAGGGAGTCCCTTCCCACCCTGCCCCCCTCCTGAAGCCCTCCCGTCTTTCTCCTGCGCGGCCAGTCGCGCCGCCGAGGTCAGCGTAACCATGCCGCTGTTCCTGGACCCGCAGGGCATCTTCCTCAGGTGCGTCCCGCGGGGCGAGGGCGTCGAGCGCCCGCTATCCTCGGCGCCGCCGCTGGCAGCAGCCGCCCCGCCGCAGGTGGGCGACATCGGAGACGTGGAGGAGCTGAAGGGGAAGAGGCTGGTGGTCCTCTACGGGTCCAACATGGGCACGTGCGAGGACTTCGCCGACCGCGCGGCGGCGTCGGGCGGGAGGCTCGGCATGGCGGTGGAGAAGCACCCCCTGGACCAGGTGCCCTCTGGCCTGTCGCTGCCCAAGGGCGCGGACGGCGTCGTCGTCGTTGTTACCAGCGTGTACAATGGGACTCCGCCGGACAACGCCCGCAAATTCGACGAGTGGCTCGACACCTCCAACGCCCAGGCCGCGCTGGAGGGCGTGCGCTTCGGCGTCTTCGGCTGCGGCAACAAGCAGTGGGCGGCCACATACATGAAGTTCCCGCGCAGGGTGCAGGAGCGCCTCGAGGACGCGGGCGGCAAGCCGATCGTCCCTATGGGCGAGGGCGACATGGACGGCGGCGAGGCCGAGTTCAGCTTTGTCCGCTGGCTCGTCTCTGTGTCGGTGGCGCTGCTGCAGGCCCATGGTGCCCAGATCCCCGAGAGCATTAAGGAGAGCATGTACCCCAGATTCCCTGTCTACGAGGTGTTGCAGAAGCTGGACTCCAAGGCAGAGGACATTAAGGTCGAGGACGTCGATGCCAACATGCAGCATGGAAGGCGGCAGGCCATGAAGACCTTTCTGTCTGGCAACAAGGCCTTCCGGGCGGAGGTCACTTGCAACCGCGAGCTCCTGTCGTCCGACGCGCAGGGACGCTCCACCCGCCACATAGAGGTGAAGCTGCCCGAGGGCGTCAGCTACACCGCGGGAGACCACCTTGGCGTCGTCGGCCCAAATCCGGACGAGGTGGTCTTCGCGTACATGGACCATTTCGGGCTGTCACACGACGCGGTGGTGCGCCTGGAGATGGAGGAGGGCGAATCCGTATCCACGGTCGCCCTGGGAAGGAAGATGTCCGCCTTCGCCGCGTTCGCCTTCCACTTCGAGCTTCAGCAGCTGGCCTCGCGCCCGCAACTGTTCGCCCTCTCCAAGCTGGCCTCCGATCCCAAGGAGGCCGAGCACCTTCGCAGCCTGGCGGAGTACGGACGCAACAACAGCGGCGAGGTGCCGGAGGGCGCCGCCGACGAGTACGAGCGGTACGTGCTGCAGGGCAGGCGCACGCTCCTGGAGGTCCTGCAGGAGCACCCGTCCGTCAAGGTCTCGGTGGGTGCGGTGCTCGGGATGCTGCCCCCGCTGAAGCCGCGGTACTACTCGATCTCCTCCTCGCCGAAGCACTCGGCGGGCACCGTGACCATCTCCGTGAGCGTCGTGCAGGGCCCCAGCCCCACCGGCAGGCGCCACCTCGGTCTGTGCTCCAACGCACTGAAGGCGCAGGCCTGCCAGAGGAGCTTCCCGCCCACCGTTCTGCCGTCCCGGCCGCTCGGCGCCAAAGGCTGGGGCATGCCGATGTTCAGCTTTGTGAAGGACACGGGCTCCTCTTTCCGTCTGCCCCCCGCCGACGTGCCCGTGATCATGGTGGGCCCAGGCACTGGCGTGGCGCCGATGCGCGGCTTCATCCAGGACCGCGTCGCCGACGGGAGGTTCCAGAACGTGCTCTTCTTCGGTTGTCGCGACGACTCCGACTATATCTACCGCGACGAACTGGAGGCGTGGGAGACGGCCGGCTCCCTGAAGCTCTTTGTCGCGTTCTCGCGTAAAGAGGGGACGCCCAAGACGTACGTGCAGAATTTGATCTCGCAGGAGGCGGCGTTGGTGGCAGAGTATATCGGGAAAGGGGCATACTTTTATGTTTGCGGCGACGCCTCCAAGATGGCTCCCGATGTGAAGGCAACCGTATCCCGCGTGCTCACAGAAGCTGGGTTGGGCAGCGATTGCGTGCAGAGAATGTCGGCTGAGGGCAAGTACTGCGAGGACGTTTGGGCTGCTCAGTCTATGTGATTCGATGGTTCAACATGTTAACCCATTGTCACCAGTTTAGCGCATCAGGGTGGACCCCATGTTTCAAGCGGTTGGGCCGACTGTTGTGTTGGTGATGCATGTACATACAATATTGATTAGATCTGTTTCCAGCGTACGCCTACAGAACCGACTGAAATGTTCGGATGTGGGCGCCGCGATATCCTTTCATGTTCGTCCCATTACAGCACGGAAGATATGTTGTTAAAGCCCGTAGGTGTGGATACATTGGCTTGTCTAAGCGACCGACTCAAAAATACTGATGGACCGTGAACTCCCACGTCATCTCCCTCCCTCCCTCCCTGTCTCGCTGCTGCGCTGGCGCTGTCACAACGACGCTTGCATCCGCGCCCACGAGCGACTAGTGAGGGCGGTCGCCCCCTTCGCCCAGGGTAAGAAGCGGCGTCGGAACGATGAGAACCATTTTCGTTGGCCACCACAGCAATATTCCGGGCTGGGGATGGCCTGCTGATTTTCGCGCAAGGGTAGTGTTGCTTGTGGTGATTCTGGTCCGTGGCCTGGACCCAGACCTCTGCCGTAAAGTTTTGGATCCATGGGCATTGGAAGTCTCGAGCCCTCCCATGCAACCGGTGTTTCGCTCCGGGGCTTTTGTTCTCAACCGTCATGTGGTGTTCGGTCATCGTTTTGAAGAGACAGCGCCCCGCGTTCCTTCTCACTCCTCCCCCTCCTCCCTCCTCCCATCGTCTTTGTCGTCGTCGTCGTCGTCGTCGTCGTCGTCATCATCATCATCATCATCATCATCATCATCATCATCATCATCATCATCATCATCATCATCATCATCATCATTTGCATTACCGTCATCATCGTCACAATCTGCATTATCGACATCGTCATCGTCACCATCGGCATCATCATCCTCATCCTCGTCATTAGCATTCTCAGCATCAGCATCATCATCAGCAGCATCATCACCGTCATCGTCACCTTCATCGTCATCGTCATCGTCCTCGTCATCATCCTCATCGTCATCATCATCGTCATTGTCATCATCATGAACATCATGGCGGTCATCATCACCATCATCGTCATCAGTATCGCGATCATCATCACCATCATCGCCATGAGCTTCGGCACACCCCTCACACGTTTCGTTACCCATTGGAATCTCCACCGAAGGCCCCAGTGGCTGCGTCAACATGCGTCCCGCGCCCACGCCGGCACATCCCTCACACGGTTCGTGGACCCAAAGGGAGCTCCACCAAAGGCCACAGTGGTTGCGTCCACATGCGTCCGCGCCACCCATTTCGGCACACCCCTCACACGGTTCGTGTCCCCATAATGAGTTCCTCCGAAGTCCCCAGCGGTTGCGTCCACATGTGTCCCGCGCCCATGTCGGCACACCCCTCACACGGTTCGTGGCCCCATGGGGAGCTTCACCGAAGACCCCAGTGGTTGCGTGCACGTGCGTCCCGCGCCCATTTCGGCACACCCCGCACACCTTTCGTGGCCCCATAGGGAGCCCCGCCGAAGGCTCCAGTGGTTGCGTCCCCATGCGTCCCGCGCCCCTTTCGGCACACCCTTCACACGGTTCGCGGCCCAATAGGGAGCTCCACCGAAGGCGCCAGTGGTTGCGTGCACATGCGTCCCGCGCCCATGTCGACACACCCCTCACACGGTCCGTAGCCCCATAGGGAGCTCCACCGAAGACCCCAGTGGTTGCGTCCACATGCATCCCGCGCCCATGTCAGCACACCCCTCCCTCACACCTTTCGTGGCCCCATAGGGAGCTCCACTGCAGGCCCCAGTGGCTGCGTTCACATGCGTCCCTCGCCCATGTCGGCACAGCCCTCACACCTTTTGTGGCCCAGTAGGAAACTCCACCGAAGGCCCCATTGTCTGCTTCCACATGCGTCCCGCGCCCATTTCGGCGCACCCCTCACACGCTTCGTAGCCCCATAGTGAGCTCCACCGAAGACCCCAGCGGTTGGGCCCACATGTGTCCCGCGCCCATGTTGGCACACCCCTCACACGGTTTGTGGCCCCATAGGGAGCTCCACCGAAGGCCCCAGTGGTTGCGTCCCCATGCGTCCCGCGCCTATTTCGGCACACCTTCACACGGTTCGTGGCCCAATAGGGAGCTCCACCGAAGGCGCCAGTGGTTGCGTGCACATGCGTCCCGCGCCCATGTCGACACACCCCTCACACGGTTCGTGTCCCCACCATGAGTTCCACCGAAGGCCCCAGTGGTTGCGTCCACATGCATCCGGCGCCCATGTCAGCACACCCCTCCCTCACACCTTTCGTGGCCCCATAGGGAGCTCCACTGGGGGCCACAGTGGCTGCGTTCACATGCGTCCGCGCCACCCATTTCGGCACACCACGGACCCCTGCGGGGCAACCAGCGCGCGTCGCGGGGACTCCGCGTTGCATGCTGCCCAGAGCTGCGGTCACCAGGGCGCGAGAACACAGAGGGGGAAACATCTGAGAGCCCACCATCCCGCTCCACTCCTCCCCCCATACACCCCTGCCTGCACTGCCCCGCGCCTCGCTCCGCCTGCGGCGCGCTGCCGATGAGAACTACTCGGAGTTTGCGCGCCCCCCTCCTTCGTCTCATCTCCCTCGCGGCACTCGCAGCTGCATATAGTTGGGTCCTTCGTCAGGCTGATTTTCTATGGCCTGTGCGAGGAACAACGCCGAGACTGGAAACATTAGGCCAGGACGTCGAAGGCATGGAGTGAACGAGGAGGGGGAAGAGACCTCCTGCCCTCCTGCTCTTCCGCACCTTTCTCTCGTTTCTTCAGGGGCCCGAATTGGCAGTCCGGCAGGCGAGGTCCCGCCAGTCTCTCCACAGACACCCGATTTCGCGAGAACTTGAGACATTACAGAGTCAAGACGGATAAGTTTCACTATCGAAGGCGCCTTCGGCGATTTGCCGCCGCCCAAACTTTTAGGAAACGCCTGTGTCGAGAAACATCGAAAGAAAGTGCGGCAACATTTGTCGACTGCATGTTCTCCCAGCTGTTGGGGAAGCCAGGGGGAAACTGGGCAGGGGCCGTCTTAGGGCTCTCCGGGGCCGTCTAGGGGAATTCTTTGGCCGTCTGGCACCTTTGGAGGCCTTCCTGGGGCACTGCAGGATCCTTTGGGGTCTCTCTTTGAACAGCCTGCGACCATGCTGGGACCATCTTCGGGCCATATTGGGCAGTTTTGGTCATCTTGGAGGCGTCATGGGACCCTTCCTGGAATTTTCTTGGACGGCAAAGCCCGCGGGATGCTGGGCCGACGGCTTGGGCCGAAGGCCATTCGGAATTTGATGTACGGGCCACGAATTCGAAATGGACTCCAAAGTTCAGCTCGCCAATCGCCAAGCACCCCTCTGGCAGGACACAGGCGCGGCCAATCGAAGACGCTTACGGCGAACCACCGCAGCCACCTGCCTGTTGGAAGCGCCCATTTGGCCAAACGTTGGGCAAAAGGCCAGCCAAGATATTGGACTGTGTGTTCCCCCAGCCGTTGGGGAAGCCCTTGGGGGAACGCTTGGGGGAGGAGGGGAGGAGGAGGAGGAGGAGGAGGAGGAGCAGGAGCAACAGACTGAAAGTTGTTTCCTTCAATTTCTGAGTTGGTACCGCTCCTTGGAGTGACCTTTCGTCGCGCCCCAATTTCGATCCCACTGCACGCACGTACACACTGACAAGCACCAAGCGGATTGAGCCAAAATCTGACGGACTCGCGCGCATGCTGTATTACCCGACTGCTTGCCCATTCACAGCACGCAATTGAAGCAAAGTATCGCATACGATGAAACAACGGAACGGCGGCAGCAAAACGAGACGGTGAGTGGCAGTAAACCAACCGCTCTCAGAGGAAGAGGGCGGCGAGCAGGAGGAGGCCTCTCGGGACCTCCTTGGGGCCTCGTGAGGGCTTCCTGAGGGCCTTTGAGATGTTCTTGGGGGCCTCTGGGGTACATCTTGGATCCATTTGGACCGTCTTACGGCTCTCTGGGTCCTCCAGACGTATCCGGAGGCCATCTCAGGGGCATTTCTGGGCCGTCCCGGTGGCCTCTTGGGGGGGTGGAAACGCGAAGATTGTAGAACAATTGAAGGATATCAGTGATTTGGTCCATTTCGGACCCTTATGGAGGGCCTCTTGGAAGCCTCTTGGGCCTTCTTGATGCTGTCTTGAGCAGTCGTGGGGCCGTCTCGGGCCGTCTTGGAGGCATATTGGGCGAACTCGGAGGCCTCGTGGACCCTCTTAGGCCGATTTGGAGGCCATCTTGTCCGTCTGGGAGGTAGAAGCCTTTCGTCTGGCAGGAGTGTATGGAGTGTCTGGAGAACAATTTGACGGAGCCAGACACTCCGTCGCAGCTCTGGTCGCACAGGGTGCGCTTGCCTGAAGTATACGACGTGATAGCAGATTCCTCTCATCGCTGTCTTTCACGTCCGAGTGCGTTCTACATGTGCGTCACGGCTTCGGATGTGACAGCCCCCGCAGAAGCATCAATGTTGGAACGACGAGTGACACCATGGCAAAATTTACCGCTGCAGTTGGGAGGATTTGGGATTATCCATTTTGAGCTTGCACGGAAAGCGTTTTTTCATCAGAAGCGACGGTTGCTTTGCGTTTACATTGGCCGTCATATCGTCCCGGGTTTGTGTTGGGACCCCGTGTAATTTCCAGTATGGTGTTGGCATTCTTGAAGCGTCTGAAAATTACATCAGAGTGAGGTGGCCGAACGGTCATTCATTGTCCCTGGGCGCGTGGCTGAATAGGGAATTCGTGGTGAGAATTCTGTTTGTTGCGTTGTTGTTGTTTGTTGTCGTCGTCCCACCCGCGACCCACCCGCGACCCACCCCGCCACCCACCCCGCGACCCACCCCGCGACCCACCCCGCGACCTACCCCGCGACCCACCCGCGACCCAACCCGCGACCCACCCGCGACCCACCCCGCGACCCACCCCCCGACCCACCCGCGAACCGCCCGCGACCCCCCGCGACCCACCCGCGACCCACCCCGCGACCCATCCGCGACCCATCCACGACCCACCCGCGACCCACCCCGCGACCCACCTTGCGACCCACCTTCAAGGGAAGAAGAACCACCTGGACACGACAATTGACGTTTACTAAACGGCCCTGGGCGTTTACAAAACAGCCTTGCCCTGTTCGATGTATTCCTCGTGTGCGTTTACTAAACGGCTTCGCTTGTCGGGGTGATTATTATGGTGCGGATTTTCTGCCCTCTACACCCGCGACCCAACAGCGACCCATCCGCGACCCATTTGCGGCCCACCCGCGACCTACCCACTTTGGTTGAACGAAAAAGTCGGCGCCTGCGGCGGGCTCGTTGTACAATTTGTGAAACTTTGGCGCTTGCGGAGGGCTTCTCCAGAGTCTCGCAAACTGCCGACGTCCCCACCGCCCCCTCACCCTTATTGAATCGCT